CAGCAATTTCTAATCGAAACTGTTACTTCCATATCTATCAGCAAAACAATTCTCCAGAAAACAGACATCTGTTCACTATCGCCAGAAACCATTGTAAAAAGGTTTTGTCTGACGCCAAAGCTCGCTATTCCCAGGTCATTAAATCTCGTATCTCATCACAAAAATTAGGCTCTCGAGACTTCTGGAGAATCTTTAACAGTATCAATAATAAGGGCAAATCTGTTATTCCTTCTCTCTTGTATGGTTCAGACTTTGTCACCTCACCTAAAGACAAAGCTGAATTGTTTGCTAAGAACTTTTCATCAATATCATCTCTTGATTCCACTAGTTGCGTTTTACCTGACATAGCCGTCAAACAGGTTGATCCCTTGCTTGACATTCGCATCACTTCAGCTTCTGTATCTAAAGTAATTTCCTGCTTAGACTCTTCAACAGCTTGTGGTCCTGACAACATTCCTGTTGTAGTCTTGCAGAGGTGTTCTCCTGAGCTTTCATCCATACTCTCTAAACTATTTAACAAGTGCTTATCAGAGTCTTGTTTTCCATCATGCTGGAAAGCAGCATCTGTTATCCCTATTTTCAAAAATTCCGGAGAGCGATCTGATTCATCTAACTACCGTCCCATTAGTCTTCTTCCTGTCATAAGCAAGGTTTTTGAATCTTTAATCAACAAACACTTAATCTCTCATCTTGAATCAAATAACTTACTTTCTGATCATCAATATGGATTTCGGTCTTCTCGTTCTACAGCTGATGTGCTAACAGTAATAACCGATAGGTTTTACCGTGCATTAGATAGAGGTGGAGAGGTTAAGGCTATCGCACTTGACATTTCTAAAGCTTTTGATAAAGTTTGGCATGCTGGTCTTCTCCATAAGCTTTCTTCTTATGGTGTAGCTGGTAACGTCTTTAAGATTATTGAGTCCTTTATTTCCAATCGTAGTATAAAAGTTGTCCTCGATGGACAACACTCTTCTTCACATCCTGTAACTTCAGGGGTTCCTCAAGGTTCAATCCTTGGCCCTATACTCTTTTTAATTTACATTAACGATCTTCCAGATATTCTCACATCTAAGGTGGCATTATTCGCCGACGACACTACCATTTACTCTTGTCATGATAAGAAGCCTACACTCTCTGATTGCTTGGAGGGGGTATCTGAGCTTGAAAAGGATCTCACTTCTGCTACAGCATGGGGCTCACAGTGGCTGGTGAACTTTAATTCAGATAAAACTCAATTTTATTCGGCCAATCGTTATCGTAATAATTTAGATCTTCCTATATTTATGAATGGTAATGTACTAGATGAGTCATCTACCATTCATCTTCTAGGATTAACTCTTACTTCTGATCTTTCTTTTAAGCCGTATATCAAATCCATTGCAAAATTAGCATCTGCTAAGGTTGCATCTCTTTATCGAGCTCGACACTTTCTTACTCCAGATTCTATTCTCTATCTCTATAAATCTCAAATCCGTCCCTGTATGGAATACTGTTGCCACATCTGGGGAGGATCTTCTAATGATGCTCTTTCTCTTTTAGACAAGGTGCAAAAACGAATTGTAAACATAGTTGGACCTGCTCTGGCAGCCAATCTCCAACCTTTGTCACATCGTCGTAATGTTGCTTCTCTTTCTCTTTTCTACAAATACTATAATAGGCACTGCTCTAAAGAGCTAGCGTCCCTTGTGCCATCTACTAAAATTCATTCTCGTGTTACTCGCCATTCAATTAAGTCTCATCCTTTTTCTGTGACTGTTCCTAAGTGCTTCAAAAACTCTTATTCTTCTAGTTTTTTTCCTCGAACATCAGTTCTTTGGAATTCGCTTCCTTCATCTTGCTTTCCTGATTCATATAATTTGCAATCTTTTAAGTCATCAGTCAATCGTTATCTTGCTCTACAGATTTAGTCTTTTCTCTTCCAGTAACTTCCAACTCTTATAGTGGTTGCTTGCAGCCTTGTTGGAAGTAAAGATGTTAAAAAAAAAAAAAAAAAAAAAAAAAAAAGCTTGCTTCATATGGTGTTTCTGGGAAAGTTTTTGAGATTATCAAATTATTTCTTTCTAACCGGTTAATTAAAGTCATCATTGAAGGCCAACACTCTTCTTTATTTCCAGTAACTTCTGGGGTTCCCCAAGGTTCCATCCTGGGCCCTGTTTTGTTTCTTATCTACATAAACGATCTTCCTGACAACCTTTCATCTAAAGTAGCTCTTTTTGCTGATGACTCAACTTTATACTCCTGTCTTGACAAAAAGTCTTCTCTTTTCGATCGCCTAGAACAAGCAGCTGATCTTGAATCCGATCTCACTTCAGTAATAGATTGGGGTTCACAGTAGCTTGTGAATTTCAACTCTAACAAAACCCAGTTGTTTACTGCAAACAACTACCGTAATATGGTCAACATTCCTATATTAATGAATGGCAATCCTCTTACTGAGTCCTCCTCTTTACGTCTTCTTGGATTATCGCTTACTACTGACCTTTCATAGAAACCATATATACAATCAATTGCTAAATTAGCTTTTGCTAAGGTTGCTTCTCTTTATCGTGCTCGCCATTTCCTTACTTCTGATTCCATTCTCTACCTCTACAAATCTCTTATTCGTCCCTGTATGGAATACTGTTGTCATATTTGGGCTGGTTCTTCTAACGATTCACTTTCTCTTCTTGACAAGGTCCAAAAACGCATTGGAAATGTTGTTGGACCTGGACTATCTGCTAAGCTTGAACATCTTTCCCATTGTCGTAAAGTTGCATTTCTTTCCCTTTTCTACAAATACTATCATGGTCACTGCTCAAAGGAGTTATCATCTCTAGTTCCATCAACTAAAAATCATTCTCGTTTTACTCGTCATTCAGCTAAGTCTCATTCGTTTACTGTATCTGTCCCTGCATGCTCTAAAAACTTTTATTCATCTAGTTTTTTTCCCCGCACTTCAATCCTTTGGAACTCTCTCCCATCTTCATGTTTTCCTGACTCATACAACTTCAACTTTTTAAGTCTTCTGTCAACCGTTTCCTTGCTCTATAATTCTGTTCTTTTTTTTCCTAGTAACTCCCAACTTAATAGTGGTTGCTTGCAGCCTTGTTGGGAGTGAATGCAAATAAAAAAAAATTAAAAAAAAAAAAATCATTCTAGAAACTTTAGTTAACATGAAACTTATTTTTTTTATACGATATGAACACAACTTGTATTGAGTCAAAACTTGTCTTGACACTTTAATAGTCAAAAAATAAATAAAAACTATTAACATTTTTTTTAACATTTTGGTTTTAACAAAATCTTTGCATACTACTCATAAGCTAGTTAATCAATTTTAACAATTTAATTTCAAAAAAAATTGAGAAATTTTTTTTGATAAAAAGCAGTTTAAAAACTGAAAAAATCATCTTTTCGTAAATTTGTTATATAAAATTTACTAATAAAATTCTCTAAAATATTTTTAAAAAATCTTATAATTTTGTCAACAGGGTTGTTTATGGTTTATCCAGCAATGCATATACAGTTATATGTGCTTTAAACACTTTGGTATATTACTACTTTTATAACCAAATGAAAAAAAAATTATTGATTCAAAACTATAAATAAGTAAAAAAATAGCAGTAAAAAAATTATAAAAATAGAGCATTTTAAAATTTTTAAAAGATTTTAGAATTAAATTTAATAAATAAATTTATTTTTATTAATATTTATTAAACAATGTGTCCAGTTTGTCAAAACCATTAGGCATTCTGCTTAATGTGTTGTTTAATAATTCAAAACTGCCTGATATTTGGAAAGCTGCAAATGTAACCCATTATTTAAAAAGGGTAGTTGATTGATTGCAGAGAATTATAGACTCATATCTTTAATCTCTATTGTATGTAAGGTCATATAGTCCATTATAAAAGGCTGCATACTTAACTTATTATATGCTGAAAAGTTATTGAACAGAATCAACATGGATTTTTGAAACATAAATCATATGTCACAAATTCAGTATGATCTATAAATTTGATTATATGTGATTTATCTAAAAAATCATCTATGGATATTATTTTTTAAAATTTCATCAAGGTCTTTGACTCAGTACCACATCTGAAATTATTGTTATAATCATCAGCTTATGGTATAAAAAGCAAATTATTAAAATGGATAACAATTTTTTTATATTCATGTAAACAAGAAAGTTTTTATGAATGATTTTATACCAGTTTAGGTGATAGTGTTCCACATAGTTCTGTGTAAAGACTGGTTAATCTATTTAAACAACAACAAATGTGCAAAGTTATGCACATTGGCAAACAGAATTTAATGTACAATTATAGTATACATAAAGTAGATGGTAGACAACTGTCTTAGAATCATCGAATGAAGAAAGATTTAGGAATCACAATAAGATCAGATTTGAAATGGGTAGCTCAAGTGTTAAACACGCATAATAAAGCAAATTCCACAATTGTCTGACTTTTTGCATAATAAAAACACAAATTATTTAAATTTTGTATATATCAAAAAAAACAAAATTTTTAAAAATACAACCTCATTTAAAATATTCAAATGTAACATGGTGTCTGTATCTAAAGGGAGATATAGAAAGGCTAAAAAAAATTTAAAACAAAGTTGTAAGAATCCCTTCAGAATTAAATGATTGATTGTACAAAAATGCCTTAAAAATTTCAATTTTACCAGTTTGGATTTAAGATGACAGAGTGGCAACTTAATCCAAATGCATAAAATTATTTGTGGGTAAGAGAACATTCAATGGTCAAAATTCATGTTTCCAGTATTTTATAAACCTGGGATTCATATATGTAGGCAAGGACATAAATTAATTTGTATTATTATTTCAAGTATATACCCTGGGTGTCAGGTCAAAATTATGCATTAACTGTTTAAATCAAAATTATATATTAATAATTTGTGTGAGCTATAGACAGCACAGTTTTTTTTTAAATTGCAATTAATTGAAATTTAGATAGTAATAAAATAATTATAGTTTTTAGTTACAAACATACTTGACAGAAATAGTAAAATCCCCGTGTTTACTTTCACTTGGTCTTACAAGAAAGCTTCCATCAGCAAGTGGAGTGAGAAGTTCTTCTGCTTGAGAGCCATTTAAACTACTGTGAAACCATCTAAAATGAAAAACATATACGTATCATAATATTTTAATTTTTTTACTTTTTTTTATGCAAAATTAATTAACTGTAAATTATCATTAAAAAAATATCATTAAAAAAACATAAATTAAAAAAAAACAGATTGCAAAAAATTAATTACTTTAAGGACATTTTATCAAATGGATTTTTTTATTGTTCATAACTTTTCGCAAATATATTTGTTTAAAACGATATAATATATGCATTCACAAAAAAACTTTCTACAAACAGGATATTATATTATACGTTTACATGTTGCCTTTAATAAAATCTAAGGCTCGGTATCTTGCATTTGTAGTTAACCGCTTGTTTATAAACCATGGTACATTAGTTTATAAACCGGTACAATGGTTTATAAACCATTATATTTAGTTAATAAACCGGTATAATGATCAATTAAATATTCGTAAAAAATAGTCTTACTTAAATTATAGTCAAAAGAAAAAATTATTATAATAATAAATACGAGTTATAGTAATAAAATATATAATAAAATATGAGTGGGTCTTAAAACTAAATAGAACGTTTGAATGACGTCTTTCATACATTAGTATATTACTATTACATTTTCCGTAGTCATAAGAAATAGATTTACTTGTTATGACTATGCATTTTTTTACTGAAACAAAAAATTTCTTACTGGATCAAAAAATTTATATCTAATTCTCGCTACTCGTGTCTCTCAGTTTAGATTAACTGAAAATTTCCTAATTTTCAGTACTTAGTGGCCAATTAAAATAAACCGTCTCTCTTTGACCAATTTTAATTCGAGATTTTAATTTATTTTTTTATGAGATATCCTCAAGATCTCCAAATATATCGTAAAAATTTGGATGACTGCAAAACACTTCAAAACCCGTGTCGTCGGCCCTGCGCAAAGCAGTTTTTTGATGAGCTCTTAAGAGAACTCATAAAATACCATGATGTTTTTTTTTATCATTTTCTATATGTGGAGAAAAATTAAATTGCCAATCGAGGGTTATTGCCAGTAATTTCATAAACTTGACTGATTTAATTACACCATTTTTTATCACTATCAGTAGTAGTGTTCGGCAAAATCAAATATACGTCAAACCTTTAAAGATTTGAATTTGAACTGTTCTTTGAGGGGATAGATTTGAATTTGATTTGACAAATATCTGGAGGATTTGGATTTGATTTTCAAATATTCACTTTGTTCTCAATTTTTGCGTTTGAAAAAAAAACGCCAAATTTTACAGGCCCGCAAACATATATATCACTTTATTCCGGGGTCTTTGCAGTGGTTTCCGGAATGGCGGTCGCCTTTCAATAACGGAAAAAAAAAAAAAAAAAAGAGTTTTTAATTAAAGTTTGTTAATATTAAAGAGAAAGTAAAGAGCATAGAGAAAAAAAAAAAGAAAAGAAATGTAAACAAAGTACAAGATTAAAAGAAAAAACGTAGAAAAAAATATATGTAAAAATGAAAAGAAAAAATTGCAAATACAATTTAACCACAATAAAAATGGAAAAAGTTTAACAATAACGAATCGAAAAACATTCAGAGAAAGAAACAATCATTCGAAAAAAGAAAATAATAAAAAAATATAATAATGGCTTGCTTGAAAGCAAAGAATTTTTTTTTTTTAATTTTACTATAACTTATTTTTATATTTCCAGGTTTCAGGTATATTTCCTAATTTATCTATTTGTTAATCTTTTTTTTGTCGGTTTAAGTTTGCCGTTTTGTTTGTAGTATGTTTGTGAAAACTTGTGTTGTTGTTGCTATTGTGTTTGTATTGTTTGCTATTGCTATTGTGTTTGTATTGTTTGAATTGAATTTACTGTTGCTTCTATTCCCTGGTCAATAATTTTTCAATGAAACAAACTTATTACTTTTGGACGAAGATTTTCTTTAAGTTATAAAATCACTCCACCACCTAAAGAGTTTCTTGCAAGAGTTGTTTGCAAATAAGCCTTTAAGTACAAGAGTTCCACATGTGATTATTTCATCCAACTTTGTTTCCTGTAAACTGACTGTGTTCATCTTAGAGATTTAATCTTTTTCTATAAACCATTTATCTCTTAATCCATAAATATTCCATGACACCAGCCAAAATGAATTATTAGTTTTGGTTTTAGACAACACTTTTTTTTTAACCAAATACTTATTAATATTTTTAACGTCTTAAACGGAATCAGAATAAAAACACGTGTTTTTTGAGGTCAAATTTAAGTGTCGCGAGCTTTTAACACTATTTTAATGAGCAGTTTCACATTCTATACGGAATTTTAGTATAATCAAGGACGTTTTAATAGTTGGATCTTTAACACATTGTTTCAAATCAAAGGCGCCACCAATTACAGAAATTCTATGCGAGTTTGAATTCTTAGCATCATTTTTAGAAATAATTTTATAAAATAAACCAACATTTAACCGACATTTTTAGTTGGCTAACCTTTTTCGGTAAATTTTCTACTACGCGTAAAATACTAACTTTTGCAAAATTTAAATGCATTTTATTTAATTAAGGTGGTATCCAGCCATTATTTTGGTAAAAAATGAAAAAAAACATAAATAACTTGAAAAAATGTTATTTAGACAATTAAACCTTCTAGAATTCAATAGTAAAAATATCTTTTCCAAAATAATTTTAGAATATCAATAATATTCATTTCAAACATCGATGATTTATGTCGTCTACATGATTTATATTTTAAAACTGATTTTTCTCAATTTTTGTTTTTTTTTTATGAGTAGCTCTAGGAAAACAATAAATCTCAATAAAAAAACATTGTTTTAGCTTCAAATTTTCAAGATATGCTCATTAGTAATATTTTTAGTGCCTGAACCTTATTAATTTTATTATTAAGCCTGTTTTTAGTGTAAAATATAAGAAATAAGAAAATAGAAATAATGGCTGAGTACCACCTTAAGAATGTCTCATATATTTAAAAACATTTTTATCAATAAGCAAGCTTTGTTTAATAATAATTTATTTGTAACTTTGACGTCAAAACTAATGTTTTTGTAAAAATGCAATATATATACTAATATGAATATTATAAAGTAAAAAGAATTTTTTAAGTGTTGCAGGTCATACCATATATCATTTAATGATTTTACCAGAGATTGTTAGCAACACTACCTACACTTTGAATTTACTATTTTCTTAAAGATTTAATCTTCTAATTTTTGACGAAAATCAAATTGTTATGTATATATATATATATATATATATATATATATATATATATATATATATATATATATATATATATATATATATATATATTCAATTTCAATTCAATTCAATTCAATATATTCTGAAATAAGTTGTAAAATTTCAAGGACTTTTACAAATAGTACAAGTACTAATCTAAAGTAAAAACCTACAACATTACAATAAAAGTGATTATAATAACAATAATAGTAGTATTGATAATAATTATAGAAATAATATTAACAATAATAATAAGATGACGATGAAAAGGAATATTATTAGTAATGATACTAACAATAATAATAAAGATATTATACAATCAATATTAGATAATAGCAATAATAGTGGTAATAACAATTACATAGTATAAGTAGTAAATAAACTTAAGAAAAAATTAAAAAAGCAATAATAATACTTATTATGTTATAAATAAAAATAACAATTTACTAATAAAGATAGAAGAATATTATTAATATCAATACTAATAATAACAATAAAAATATGAGAACAAAAAGTTAATAATAAAACTAGTAGGTATCAAGAAAGTAGTAATAATAAAAGCATAACAACATATGCTTTTATTATTACTACTTTCTTGATACCTACTAGTTTATATATATATATATATATATATATATATATATATTATATATATATATATATATATATATATATATATATATATATATATATATATATATATATATATATATATATATATATATATATATATATATATAAATAATTGTATACTACAGTTATTTTAATACTAAAAATTTTGAATTGTTTATTTAATTATTTGAATAGTTAAAATATCAATTATTTTTAGCCTCTGGTTTTTCCTTATTTTTTCTTAGCAGTGATGAACCTAGAGTCTATTTTTGAGATACCGTTTTGATGTGGCGAGTTATAAAACCTTTATATATATATATATATATATATATATATATATATATATATATATATATATATATATATATATATATATATATATATATATATATATATATATATATAAAGGTTTTATAACTCGCCACACCAAAACGGTATCTCAAAAATAAACTCTAGGTTCATCACTGCTAAGAAAGAATAAGGAAAAACCAGAGGCTAAAAATAATTGATATTTTAACTATTCAAATAATTAAATAAACAATTCAAAATTTTTAGTATTAAAATAACTGTAGTATACAATTATTTGTATGATTAAATAAAACCAATGGGCATTCACTGATGGCATCATACAGAAAGCCAAATAGTTATCTTATATAAGCTCAGGATAATACAATTTATATTAACCATTTGGGTTTGAGTAAATATGCCCCAATAAGTTCTTATTGAGTCCTTGTAATGTTTATATTTATAATAATAGATGTGAAACATTTTCTTAATAATTAATATCTTATTTAAAAAACCAAACGCCTCTTTAGTAAATTTTTCTAATTTTCGATTATTGATTATTTTTCTAAGGATATTCAAAATAGATTGAAAGACTGTTTACGCTATGTATGCTATTACTTTTAAAAATAACTGCACGTATATGCTATATGGGCCTAATCAAATACTTCGGGAGTTTTTAGACTAAACTCCCCCCCCCCCCCTCTCTTTTTATATGTGACATTTTAAACAATCTCTTGCCTCCCACTTCGTGACGTGACATTTTTAAACAAATATATCTTTGAATTAGTTACTTTTTTGTTTAAAGGTTAATAATCTGCTGTAATTAAAATTTATGTTTTAAAACTATTGCCATGTCACACTGTGGCAAACCCATCCCTCTCCCACGTGATATTTAGTGACACTCTCAAACACCTCCCCCCTCCCCCCCCCCCCCACACACACACACACTACCACCACCACCTCTTTAAGAATGTCAAGTATTATTTGAATAGCCCCTATATGCTTTTGCTATATTTTTAAATTAGCAACAACAACAAAAAATAATTCAAGTCTAAGTAAATGTAAGCCCTACTTCTAAAAAACATATTTACTGTTCGGTCACTTTGCTCCGTATGTCTTAATAAAAAAGATTTAGTAATACCAACTACTTTTTTTTACACATATAGTTATAAAATATTTGCCTCAAATTTTGCGTAAGTTATTGCCTAAGTTTTGCGTAACTCA